GTTAATATAGTAATGGGACAAATCACAATTGTATACCACTTGATAGGGTGCATTAGGGAGAACATAAACATCTATTCTGTGATAGTCCTGCCAAAGTTACATAAGCTATCTAATCATATGGAAACTTTAGACAAACCCAACTTGAGAGATATTTTACAAAATAATTGATCTGGAGTCTTCAACCATATTAAGACTACAAAGTCAAGGAAAGACTGTGAAACTGTTCTAACTGAAAGAGGCCAAAAAGATATGACAGCTAAATGCAACACATTACTTTTAGCCAGATTCTTTTGCTATGAAGGACACTATTGGTGAAACTTTATTGAAATCTGAGCTTTAGATGGTAGTAATATGTTAATGTTATTTTCCTGATTTTAGCGTTTGTGGTTGCACAAGAAAATATATTTATTTGTAGGAAGTATACACTGAAGTATTCAGGGGTGATGAGACATCAAGAAAGCAAATTACTCTTAAATGGTTCTGGAAAAACAAAGTTTGTGTTTGATTCAATCTTTTAAAAAATATTAAAGAAACCAATAATTTGAAAGTGACAGATATAGAAGGCAAAGAATATTGAACATACATGTAATAATAGGAGTACCCGAAGAAGAAAACCAAAACAATGCTAGAAATACATAATCAATAAAACTTTTCTAAAATTAAAAATATTGTTAGCTGGATGCAGTGGTTCTTGTCTGTAATCCCAGCATTTTGGGAGACCAAGGTGGGAGGATCGTTTAAGCCCACAGGTTTGAGACCAGCCTATGCAACATAGCAAGAGCCCCATCTCTACAAAAAAAAATCAAAATATTAGCTGGGTGTGGTGGTACACGCCTATAGTTCCAGCTTCTCCAGAGGCTGAGGTGAAAATATGGCCTAAGCCCAGGAGTATGATACTCCTGGCTTATATAACTTTTTGGTTGAGGCTGTGCTGAGCCATGCCACTATGTGATTATGCCACTGAGCTCCAGCCTGGGTGACATAGTGAGACCCTGACTCAAAAAAAAGCCAAACTGCATATCAAAATGACATTCCATTTACCCAATATGATCATCAGTACCAAGAAGTAAAATTATTGGAACTTAAGGGAAGAAAATCTATGGAATTCCGCCCCCTTTAGCCCCCCCGGCCCTTAAAGGAAATCAGGCCCTTAAAGGAGAGGAAATTAGGTTGTCCTCAGAATTTCATCAGCAGTTGTTTATAGGAGACAATGGAGTGATCATACTCAAAGAATCAAAGAAAGAAACTGAAACAGACTTTCACACATAAAGGCTGCAGTCAAATGTATTGACAAAGAATTAGAGTGATATTGTTTGTATAAACACCTCTGAAGAGAGAGAACAACCTTCAGATAACCAAAATGATGGGAGAGATACTGACATAAGGACTGGTGTTAGCGTTAATTTAGATGGTAATAAGAGAGAGTGTGTATAATATGAAAAGTCTATATACTCTGACAGTCTTGATAAGGTACAACAGTTATTAGAACATGGGGAGAATTTGAAGATAATGTGAAAATAGAATAAGCTTTCTGATGGCTTTAAAGTTTTTAACTGGGTATAAAAGGATAATAATTCAAATCAGATCTTGCGAGATTGCTTATGGTAAGAAAATAAAAGACAAAAGATTGCCATTAAAACAAAGGAACAACCCTCCCTAAATTTCTACACACACACTCTTAAAACAACAAATAAACCATACAGTGAGACTGTATTTTAATTACTATAGCTTTATAACACACTACTCCAAAACTCAGTGGGTTAAGACAATCATTTTATGGACTCTGTAGGCTAGGAATTCAGGCGGGGTTTTGGCTGGATGGTTCTTCTGTTCCTTGTGACATCAACTCAGGTCACTTAGTGGGACTCCACTGGTAGATAAGCTGCTTTCACGGGCCAAATATGGCTTCACTCCCCTTGTCTTGTGCCTTGGGGGTAGTGGCTGGAAGTTAGGGCTCAGAACACTACCACATGACCTCTGCAGGATGGTTGTTTTAAAATAGATTTGTTATGTGGTGTCTGTTTTTCCCTTGAACAAGCACTACAAAAGAACCAGGCAAAAGCTTCATGGCCTCTTCTAATATAACCTTGAAGGTCACACAGCATTACTTCTACCACATTTTCTTCCTTATAAATGAGTCAAAAGAACTCACCCAGATTCAAGAAGAGAGGAATTAAACTCTACCTCTTGATGAAGGAATGGCAAGGTCACAGTGGATCAAGACCATGTGGGATGTGACATCTTTGGATGCCACAAGTTTGGATAAACAACACAAAATGGAAGAAGTAGAACTAAGATCAAACAATTTCAATCATATGAAAAGTTAGGGGACGAGGAGATACCTCTTATCAACAAGGGTGCCTGAACGAAGCATATTTGTATACCTAACTCTTAACTGTACCCCACAATATCATAATAAAAAAAATTGATTATAAAAAAAGAAAAGTTAATGCACCTTAATCGTTAAAAGCAAGCAATTTTTAGATTTACTAATAAAGTAATCTTTAACCATATGTAGTATATAAGAGAAATATCTACAACTAAGGGGTAAAATTGTTATAAACAAAGGTAAGGCTCAGTGGCTTACTCTTGTAATCTTAGTACTTTAGGAGGTCTAGGTGAGAGGATTGCTGAGGCCAGGAGTTCATGACCAGCCTGGGCAACATAGTGAGACCACTATCTCTACAAAAAAAAAGTATTTTTTAATTAGCCAGGCATGGTGGCACGTACCTGTAGTCCCAGCTGCTCAGGAGTCTGGAGAGTTGATGAGCCCAGAAGTTCAAGGTTACAATAAGCTATGATTATGCCACTCCCTCCAGCTGTGAGCAACCTGTCTCTAAAACAGAACAAAACAAAAAAGGACTGCTTAGCTGTTAAATAAATAAATAAACAAATAAATAATAAGGGGCATTTGTATATGTTGCTCTGGGGTAATCATCTGGATATATTTACTATTAAGCGAAAAAAGCAAAGTGGAGAAATGTGTGTGTTACTGTTTATTTAAGAAAGAGGAGAAATATGTATATGCTTTTGTGTTTATGGGAACACACACACACACACACAATGAAAGAATAAGCCGTTCTTTAAATATTTGCATGTGAAGACCACAGAATTTGTTTTTTGTTTTTGGGGGGGTTTTTTGAGACAGGATCTTACTCTGTTACACAGGCTGGAGCACAGTGATGTTGTCATAACTTACTGCAGCCTCCAACTTCTGGGCTCAAGTGATAGTCCTGCCTCAGCCTCCGGAATATCTAGGACTTCAGGCACTCACCACCAGGCCCAGCTAATTTTATTTTATTTTTTGAACGAGTATCCATTACACAACATTAACACCCAGGGAAGAACTATTCCAAGTGATGTTAAAACAGTAATGAGGCTGTATATTCCGATTGGACCATACCCAAAGGATAGAAAAAACTAGGAGAAATAATTACTGTTTTTCCATAATATCCTGGTAGTAGTTTTGGTGTTGTGATTCACTATTGTGAATATAACATTGGATAAAACAAATGTAATTATACAATGTTCTAGTTGTGTTATCCCCAATATTGTCTCTTGAGAACCAGGATTCTTCATATGCAAGAAAGCAGACAAATGTACAATAGAAGAGATCAAGGAAAAACCCAGTGGTCCTAATTTTTAAGTAGAAGAACCAGCATAAATTCATGATGTACTTTTTATTTTTATCAATATCTCCATTCATCAGTCTGTCTGTATCTGTACATACTAAAGGAGACTTGTCATGGAATGATAATCATTGAAATATAGTAAAGTATAACAGATACATTAACCTAATAAGTCTACTGTTTTTATTTTAATTTTTTATTTTATCCTAGAATGAAAGGGCGTAATAAAAAATAACATTTTATCAGTTTTAAAGAGGCAATAATATAACATTTTATTAAATATAAATGTGAACTTTTAAATGTTTCTGAGCTTTTTGATGAATTGTTGCTTTGAAACTTAGGAGGAAGAGTAACTCAACAATAATCGTGCTTGCTCTTACTCTGTCTTCTTCAACTGTACAGACTCCTAAATGAGTTGTTTGCTTTAAGATGAGCTTTAGGCCAAGGGCAACAGCTTATGCCTACAGTCCCAGCTATTTGGGAGACTGCCGCGGGAAAATTGCTTGATCCCAGTTTGTGACGACAGTGAGCTATGCTTATGCCACTGCACTTCAGCCTGGGTGACAGAGCAAGACCCTGTCTCTAATTGTCTGTAAAAGAATGTGTTATAGAGAAAAAGATATGTGTGTATAACCATGTAATTGCAGTATTTTTTTAAAGTGCCAAAGGTTTTTGTTATTAATAGACTTAGTAGTTTTTAATATATAATATAGTTTAAAATAATTCAACTTCAAAATCATACTTGTTTTTGTATTAAAATCTTTTAAATAAAAATGTTTATGAATGTTACTTCAGATTACTTTGTGTCTTATTTTTGCAGTTTGACAATTTATAGATTATAAAATGAGTTAAAATAAATTTAATTTTGTCAGTTGTCTAAAGCATATTTTCCATTATTGACCCTGCACAAGTTTGTACAGAGAGAGTATCAGTTAAATTTGATCCTCTCAAGAGGAGAAAGTTAGTAATCAAAGCAACTGGTATGTTAATTCTTATAGGTTTCTTTTTTAATATAAAAATTAGGCCAAATCCTGATTTTTTTTAAATTTACTCTTAATTTAGACAATAATGTAGATTCCTACTGCTATCTGATGCATGGTAATTGTCTTTTAATTGATTAAGTAAGATATGAACTTTAAAATAGCATATGGAAAATATTCTAACTCAGCCAATTCTAATTCATGCTATAATTTGGAAGGCTATTAATTTTTTATAATTTTCGTATCGGACAAAATTTTATAAGGTTACTATTTTAAGGTTCTTGCCACATTTAATTAATTGTAAGACAGTTTACATATTTAACACTTTATCTTTAAGAAACTTATTTTTGAGACTATAAAATATAAATTTATTTCTCTTTTTCCTCATCAGAATACAGTCGTTTTGAAGCTAAAATACATGATTTACGGGAGCAGATGATGAATAGTAGTATTAGTTCAGGGTCAGGTTCTCTTCGAACTAGCCAGAAGCGATCCCTCTATGTCAGGTAAATTTTTTTACTTATAATTATAACAACTCTTAATTATTTATGCATGCAAGTTATTTTATATTTTTTGCTATAACTTAGTATTAATATGGAAATATATATTGCGAATCAGTAAAAATCTTTTTTAAATGATTGATTCCCTCATAGTATATCTTTCGAGAATTGGAATATTACTGTAATTTTGTTAATGTAAGTTGTACAACCCTTGAATAATAGTGATATGATAAAGAAATTTCTGTGGACCAGTAATTTTTTTAGGTTGATGTTTTAGTAGTGACTACAAGCTTGATATGTCATATCATCCAACACTTTGATTTACCTGTATCCTTTTATAGTAATATAATAGTCTCCATTTGAGTAACATTTAACGGCCATGGCAGTTTCCATAATAGCAAAGGGAGCATATGAAAATCATAGCTTAAAATGTGAATAGCCCCAGAAAGAATACATATTCAGGAAATTTCTACATGTATATTTTAGACAGGTGGAAGAAGGCAAACATATTATTTTTCCATAACACATAAATGTGTCAAGATAGGTCTAATAATATTGAATAGATAGTATATAAACTCTTTTTTATTTCACTGACTAATAAGACTTTAAAAGGAAATTCCATTTATTTGTACTCTGTATACTTTATTTTAATAAAATATTTATACTATTATTGTTACATTAGTTAAGCCCTACAAGTAATCTGAACCATTCTTCATTAATTATTCTCTCATTCCTCCTGATCCTATTGTGGAACCTATCCCAAATGTGTTTCATTTATCCTTCTGATTAGAGGTGATATACATTTCATAAATAGATATGTATTCTATACACATCTGTGTGTCTATAGATACACACATGCATGTATATGTGTGTGTATATCTATATACACACAAACGCAATCTGTATGATATGACTTGTTTCAAATAATTTTATTCTATGATAAATTAAACTTTTCTTCTTTCCTTCTATTGCTACCCCTTTTGTTTCTTTTACCATAGAAATGTTAAATATATCACATTTTTCTCTTCTCGCCCTCCACCAATTCTTGACATACTTATTAAACTCGTGTTTCCAAGTTTTTGAAAGTATGTATACAAATCCACAGAAAAGTAAAAAATTTACAGATTTTTATTCTTTTTCTTTCTGCTTATGTATTTTTCTAGTTTTATTATAATTAATAGATGTTGCCTTTTATTAGTTTATTATCCCTGCCTACCTACCTTAGTACTTCTGTACACCAGTAATTCATGAACTTTTCTAGCATTCTTGTAGAATAAGATTTGTTTCAATATCTCTCTCTTTGGGTACCCCAGTTACAGCTTTCTTCATTCTGCCAAGTTTAGTTATCATCATCCAAAATACATTTAAAAATCTCTTTTCTCCTGTCATCGTCTCTCTTTTTTATTTTTTCTGTTTGTCATTTTAGTGAGTCAAGATGAAGAACAAATAGATGCATGTAGCCAATCTGCCATAGTTCTTCATAGTTCAGAAGTCTTGTGGTTCTTTTTTTTAAAGACAGAGTCTAACTCTTAGGCTCAGGAGATCCTACCTGCCACCTTGCCTCAGCTTCCCAAGTGGCTGGGACTGTATGTGAATACTACCAGGTCTTTTGGTTCTTTTAGTCAACAAATTTTTAATTACAGAGTAAAAGCGGGATTGGGGGATGGCTACAGTATACCTTTTTATAAAGCTCTGAAACAAAAACGTGTATTGTTTAGTCATTCGTATATATGTGATAAAACCAAACCAACCAAATAAATAATAAGGGTTGAGGAAATAACAAACAAAAATGATAGTTACCTTCTAATAGTGGTTAACGGTTAACTCATGATTTGACAGAAGCAGGATCAGGGAAAATACATAGGTGAATGTGAATTACTGGTAAAGATTTTATGTGTTGTCTTAGGTTAGATAGTAAGTCAGCAGTTATGTATTGTACTCTTAGGATTAATAACTCACATATGTTTCTTTGGTTTCCTTTTTATAAATCAACTATATTAAAAGATAAAGCTAAAATGCTAACATAAGTAGAGATTGTAGATTTATTTTCTTTGGTCCATTGTTCATCAGTAATATATTACTTTTGTGATTTATAGATAAATTTTTTATAACAAATGCTGGGATAGTATTCTTACAGTAAATCTTGACAGTTTACTGCCTCTTAAGGTTCTTTATTTTCTTTTTTAAATATTATGCTTATTTGCACCCTCATTTTCTGTCTGTATAAGTAGGCCTGTCCCACTTTTGATTCCTGCCTACTTCCCTTATCCCTTTATCCCCTGAAAGAACTTGAAAGAACACATTTGAAAACCACTAATTACTAGTTCATTCATTTTACCCTTAAGGAATTTTACTTCTTGAGTTGTTACTTCAAGAGATGAGTTCTCAAAAGTTGAGGACAGGCATGTTTGCTCTGTCCTGTAATCTCAGCACTTTGGAAGGCCAAGGTGGGAAGATCGCTTGAGGCTAGGAGTTTGAGATGAGTTTAGGCAGCATAGCAAGACCCTGTCCCCACAAAAAAATTTTTCTTAATTAGCTAGGCACAGGGTTGTACACTTGTAGTCAGTCACAAATACCCAGGAGACTGAGGCAGGAAGAGCACTTGAGCCCAGGAATTTGAGGCTACAGTGAACTATGATTGCACCACTGCATTCCCACCTGGGTGACAGAGCAAGACCCCATCTCTTAAAAAAAAAAGTTGAGTAGCATGAAAAAGAATATGATCTAATTTCCAGATACCAAATTAGAGTAAAAGAATGAATAAACTGTATTATAAATGTAATTGTTCCTTTCCTGTACTCTTGAGAGAGCTTATTTGGACTTAAGAAATTAATTCACTTAAATATTATACATTAATGAAATGATAGGATGTGGTATTTTCTTTTTATCAGATTTTAAAATATTCTCATTTTGCAATTACCACATTAATATTTTTTCCAAAATATTTGGCAACTGATAGTTAGTTTTCATTATTGTTAATGACTGTGCAAACCCAATTAACTCTAGTTTTGTGAATAGAAGAAATGGTTAACTGGCAGATTTGACACTATGTTAATCTAGTCTTAAGGTCCACAAGTAACAAATCATATTTATCAGGCAATTTGTTTTCCAAAGTATGTCTCATCAAAGTAAAGAGAAGAGTATCTCCTCATGTTTACTTTTTGTTTTTTAATTTAGAACTTTCTAGCTTTGTCTTCATTTTAGAATTCAATGTAAGTTACCACTGGATTGTATTAAAATCATTTTTTTAACTTCTTTTACAATATTCCAAAATATACCTAATTACAAACTATTTTCATAACAGGCTGATTTTGCTATTTCTTGTTTGTCTTGTATATAGTGCAAAAGTGAACTGGACATTATTTGGCCTACCATAGTATATTGTTTTGTTATCCAAATTACATACACTTTCAGAATCCTTTATGTAAGTTAATGGCCAATATCATTATAACAAGTAATGGTAACCTTTTTTCTTCTGAATCTAGAGCCCTTTTTGATTATGACAAGACTAAAGACAGTGGCCTTCCCAGTCAGGGTTTGAACTTCAAATTTGGAGATATTCTTCATGTCATTAATGCTTCTGATGATGAATGGTGGCAGGCCAGGCAGGTTACACCAGATGGTGAGAGCGATGAAGTTGGAGTGATCCCCAGTAAACGCAGGTAATATAAGTCTCTTTTTCTTACCACTTGAACATAGGTCAACATAAATCGTTGTTGTTCCTTTAAATTTATTTTACTTTGTGACAACATGGATGGACCTGCAGTACATTATGCTAAGTAAAATAAGCTGGTCACAGAAAAACAAAAATTGTATGATCACATTTTTATGTGAAATCTAAAATACTCAAACTCTTACAGGGAGTAGAATGGTGGTTACAGGGCTTTGGAGGAGGAAATGGGGAGATACAAAGGTAAAGCTTCAGTTATGCAAGATAAATAATTCTGGACATCTAATGTATAATATGGGGACCGTAGGTTACAGAATTGTATTGTATACTTGAATTTTGCTAAGAGGATAAATCTTAAATGTTCTCACCATACACAAAAAATGGTAACTAGATAAGGTGATAGATATGGTCATTAGATTGAGTATAGTGATTATTTCACAATGTATACTTGTATCAAATCCTTAAGTTGCACACCTTAAATATATGCAATTAAAAATAAATAATCACCAAGACAACTGGGAAAAAAAAGGTTTTTTTACTGAAATGATGATTTCATGTTTGGTTTTTCATATTGTGCTTCACAACCATTTAATTGTATTCATGTGGAATTGTAATCAATGATATAACTAGAAAACAGGCCGCCAAACAGAAATTTCTCTAAAGCTACTACTACTTGCTAAAAGCAAAATAAATATGTTTTAAGTCATTGTGCCATTTATCTATAACAGTAGAGGGAGAGAGAATTAAATGTGTCTGTACTTGGTGTAGGTGGTAAGAGGACCTAAATTTTCAGAGCTTTTGATTGCATGAATTCTCCCCTTTAGATTTAACAATGAAAATAAATGCAAAATATTTTAGAATCTATGATAGTATGCTTTACCTCTCTTTTTTCCTGCTTAAATTAGATGTACTTGCAGTCCACTAGTCTCCTCTTTGCTTTTAATCATTCATTTTAGTGATTCATTGGTGCATACTTAGCATCTAGTAGCAAAAGTGATTAAGTGCAGGCTGCCTTTGCAAAGGATGATCCCAGCTTAGAGGACTCCTTCTGAGACCTATAAAATGCCATTGAATGTCTCTACTTTTGTGGGAAAGATATTAAAATACTAGTTCATAATTTCTTCAGGATACTTTATTTATGGGATTGGATTCAGCTAAATCGTTAATAAAGCTTTTAAAAGTTTTAGGATAGCCAGCAAGAATGGTTAATGAAAAAATGATGTTTATAATAATAGCTAATTAATTTGTTTCAGGTCAAGGTTATGATGTAATGATTTTATTCTTTTATCAATGAGTTGGATTTATTATGTTGGAGTCACTGTCATTGATAGGTATACCTACTCTTATAACTATGTATAGACCTCTATACATATATGTTTACCTGTTTGTGGAAGTTGAAGAGTATATTATTAAAGTATAACCAAGATTTGTAATTATGGTTTTGGGGTTTGTCACTGTTGTTATTTAGATACATATATTTAGCAAGATCCAATTGCTTGGCTAGATCTTTTTTTTTGAGTTGGAGTCTCACTCTGTCACCCAGACTGGAGTGCAGTGTCTGCTCCCGGCCACCGCAGCCTCGACCTGCTGGGCTTCGGCGATCCTTCCGCCTCAGCCTTCCGTGTAGCCAGAATTACAGGCGCGCGCTACCACGCCCGGCTAATTTTTTTTTAATTTTATTGTAGAGATGAGGTCTCGCCTGCCCAGGCGGGTCTCAAACCCGCAGGCTCAGGCAATCCACTCACCTCAGCCTCCCAAAGGCGCAGGATTACAGGCTGAGCCCCCGAGCCCAGCGCTTGGCTAGATCTTATGTTTCATGGCAAATCCTCTTTTAGCAATGCAGGCCCTCAGCATAAGTTTTTTTCCCGAAATAGAACCTAGTCTGCTTTAAACTTAAAAGTGCTTCTTCTGTGACTTGTTGAATCAGTAGAAACCTCACATCTTAAATATCAAGATCAGAGATCCTAAAAATTATCTTATCTTTTGGAGTCTCATATCTTGTAAAGGCTTTATGTGTGCCTATAACCAAGAAAAAAATACTTATTTTGTTGGTGTGCATGTGTGTGTGTAAAAATATTATAAATTGTGTTTTAAAGAAAAGAGTAGAGATATTATCTTTACCTTCACCAATTCCCAAATTTATGAGTAGCATTGTAGAACATAATTCTACTCCTATAGAATACAATATGCAACACAACTAATTATGCCATTTCACTCTTGAATGTATTCAGAACTTACGTTTTCTTACATAGAGCTGTCTCTTTCTTAGACCTCTTTATTTCTAATAATAGTATAAGGAATTGTAATTCCTACAATTCTTGACTTTTTTTCAGGAATAGTTTACAAATATACACAGTTTAAGTCACTGAACTATTTACTGAACAAAATAAGGATTAGAAAACTAAATTGTGTTGTAAGTGCTCACTCACTAAATGCTAGCTTTGTGATGCCTTCAATAAGTATCTAGGCAAGATTATATTATTATTCATATCATGAAGCCTCAGGATTGCTCCTGGAATAGTAAAAATCATGAGTTTTAAATTCATGAGTGCCAAGATTGTGTTCTCATAGTAAAACCGTATAGCTAGATAATACAGAAAAAAAAGAAAATGCATTTATTTAGATGCTGTTTGGTTAGGCTTTTCTGCTATGTACAAACATAATTGCTATGTTGAAATCTGAGGTTTTATAAAAAGCTTAATGTACGTGAGATTTTGCAAGGTTCCCATCAGTGTTACAATCCACTTGAAAATTTTATTGTTGCAGTTTTATTGGCTTGCTTATTTTGCATAGGTAACAGTTTAAAATTAAAAAGATATAAAAGCTATTCTGGCTCCTTCCTGAGACACCCATTTCACCTTAATAGAAATAACTAAGGTTACCAGTTCTTATATATCCCTTCAAAAATACTTGAAAACTCCTATTTTATACACTATAACTGATTACTTTATATATGTACACATTTATACCATTGGAGTTAAGCTTAATTTTTTTTATTTCCCACCTTCTTAAAAATTAAAAATTCCAGAGCTACGGAAAAGTACAAAAAAAATGCAATAGTACAATGAACATCCATATCCTTCAACTTACATCAGTTGTTAACATTTTATCATGTTTGCTTTGCCTCTCTAAAGCTTTAATTTTTAGCATATGTGTTCCTTGATAAGCTAATATTTAAAAAACAAAACCTGGAAAATTGCTAAACTCAGAAATGGTGCCTCATAATACTTTGAATATAATTCTGTTTTTAGTGAATATTCAAATATACACATATGTGCTAAATTTTGGTATTTTATGAGTAGTTTTGTTTTATAGAATAAAATGAGCCCTATGTTTCATTTTTTGGCAACTCTTATTTGAAGATACAAACCTAGATGGCTCCTAAATGTTTTAGAATATTAAAAAAATGCCCATTACAAAAATATCAGTTCTGATAAGTTCTACTAAAACCCCTAGATATATGTGGTTTACTTAAAAAATAACATTCTGTATTTTGACAGGGTTGAGAAGAAAGAACGAGCCCGGTTAAAAACAGTTAAATTCAATTCTAAAACAAGAGATAAAGGGGTGAGTATATGAAATCTCTGGTTTCTGGAAAGTAATAATTGAGGCTAAGAGACCTTTTCATAAAAGTCTTGTTTGAGCTACATTAATAAAATGAAAAGGATTTAGCCATGGTTAGTTCTTGCTGTGGTACTTTACAAGAATAGACACTAAAGTAAGCATTTATTAAATTAAAGCACCCATTTCTCACAGACCTTTCCAAATTACCAAAACTGTCATTTGATAAATTCTTAGTAACATTCTTTTGGCCAAACTTGTTTTTATATATGAAATAAATTTAGCCTTCGTTCAAATGTCCAGTTAGAAATTTCTGTTATCTGGTATTATGACTCCTCTAAGAAAATAAGTCCCCCCAACATATTATTAACTGAGTCTAAATCTAAGTTTAGAAGTTATTGGGAGTGGATTTATAGGTATTCCCTTATTTTTTCTCCTTATTATTACTGATATAATTTATTAAAAGAATCCATATTTGAAATGTTGCAATCAATATGCATTTTTATTTGGAGAGAATTAGGAAAGTACCAGTCAAGTGGAGAGGTTTGTATATGGTCGAGAAATATATCGAAATTCTTTCATATTTTAGATGTATGTTTATTTTTTCCTTTATTTTAAGCCCTCTGATTGAATATGAAAATTTTGAGCATCAATACATGAGAAAGATAGTACAGGCTTCATCCTGTACTATATATGAAATTTCTAATTATCTTAAACTCAGTGGAATATTCTAGCAGTAAGCCTGAAGAAAGAACTGAATACATGTTGTGTTAAACAAGTCTCTTTATCATATTTGAAATGAATGTGGAAAGTTAACTTAGCGAATAAATTTATTCTCTGTATATCTCTGATATCACTAAGCGCTCAAATTTAACTGTTTAAAATGTAAAAGATAAGAAATGTGATCTTTGGTCCAAAAAATTAAGTCTGAGTAAATTGTATAATACAGTTGTTTTTCTTTTCTTTTTTTTTTTTTTTTTTTTTTTTTTTTTTTGAGTTGAAGTCTCACTGTCGCCCAGGCTGGAGGGCAGTGGCCAGTTCCCGGCCATTGCAGCCTCGACCTGCTGGGCTCCTGTGATCCTTTCGCCTCAGCCTTCCAAGTAGCTGGAACTACAGGCACGCGCTACCACACCCGGCTAATTTTTTGATTTATTGTAGAGATGAGGTCTCGCCAAGTTGTCCAGGCAGGTCTAGAACCCGCAGGCTCAGGCAATCCACTCACCTCAGCCTCCCATAGGCGCGGGATTACAGACTGAGCCACCGAGCCCAACTTACAGTTATTTTTTAATGATAAATTCCTTTAAAATTAACTTGTAGCTTTCAGAAAATATCAAATTATATATGTAGTATGATCTGAAGCAATATTTAAAACAAATTTTTATTGGAGGAAAACTCCCAAGCAAAGGCTCAGGATTTGAAATATGTACGGTATTTTTTGTGCTTGTTTTTTGTACGTCTTTAAAAATAATTCAGTTCAATACAGCATTGATGAATTGAAAAAGAGGTTGCATGTTGTAACTTTTCTTTCATAATGTAAGAAGTTAACTGAATTAACGATATATTTAAATCTTAGTCTTGTTTGTTGACTGTAACCAACTTTATGCACAGTCACTGTGTTCTAACACAGCACCAAAACTATGCATGATACTGAGTGGGGTAAAAAATACGCTTGCCATTGATGCAGAACTGCATTTCTTTCTATAATAATGTTACTTTCTGTAATCTTATTCCTCCTTTTCCTTTTCTTACATAGTGATTTATAGACTTTATTTTTACTACAGACTTATAACATTTCAGTTTCTCATTAACATTTCTAACATTCATTTGGCTATTGTGAAATACTACATATAAAAACTATATATTTAGATGTTTAATGTATATATTATGAATTTGTGGTATTTTATCAGTTCTTACATGTGTTACACTGTTTCTCTTGCAATACAGCATTAATGATAATAAGCAGTTAAACATAATATTTTTTGCTTGAAAACATAGAGAAACTGGAGGTAGCAGGTCTCTTCAGTTTTGTGTTTTCCCTATACGTTTTTGTCTTGTTTGCTTGTACTATTTTTATTTTCAACTTCTATTAAGTTTTTCACCTGGAGTATAATTAAATGTAATACAATTAATACATTGCTTAACTAACAAGCATTTCTTTCTTTTCTGTATTATGATATCTTTATGATATCTCACTTTGGCTAACTGCAAAGATAATATGAATCAAAACATTTTAAACTTCATGTTTGCTGTGAAACTGACTCTGACCACTATATATGCAGTAAGAGTGGTAAATAACCTTTTATTTAAAAAATATCAGTTTTATCAGCTATCGTAGAAATTATTGGTAAATTCAAAATCAGTGATTCTTATGAACAAAAAGATTTAGTTCTTCTCTAAATTAGATTATTGTTATTTTTTTCTCTACTAAAACTTAAATTTTTCTTCTCTTTCTCCTTTCTAAATTTGGATTCAAGCAAAGATTTTTATTCAAATAACGCTACTTGGCAGTTTATAAAGTAGTTATAAATCCCCCCCATATTTCTTCACAAAACTTTTTCTCAACTTGGAGATTTTTTAACTTCTGCTTAGAGTTCTCTGTCATCTAATTCCTCAGAACCTTCAAAATACAAATTGTAAATCAAGACAATCTGCTTGGCTAATGAACTATAAACTTACTAATCCTGAATTAATGATATAAAAAGGTAAAAAATGAAAGTTTAACTTTGTATTTGTAAAGATCCTTATCAGAATAAACCTTCTCAAATCACAGAATTGGAACTAAAAGTCACTTTAATCTACTTAAATAGCTTAGTCATCTGGCATCGCATACTTAAAATATGGACGTGCCAGAAAAATACTGCCTGGTGTCAATATGCTTCAAAATAATTATGTCGCATCTTAAGACATGGATGAATTCAAGAAAAATCAAAATGAAATTTCTATCCTTTGTATTGTTCCCTTTCCCTTCTCCTCCCCCTCAAAATAATAATAATCCCTAGTATCATTAGTAGGTAAGGCCATGTATTTCAAAATATGGATGTCTATGACAGAGAAATTATAAAAGAAGCTCTTTTTCCTTAATAGCCTCATCATTCTTTGTGCTACATGCTCTTAAATCTATGAATGCACAAATGGGGCATTCAAGGGGAAAAAAATGGCTTTCAACATCTGTGCAACAAAGGGTGTAAAATCATCTGCTCAACTCCTACATAGCAATTATGTCGATACTGTTACAATCTTAATTGCCTTTGTGGCTTTGATAGGACCAAACTTTTTATTCTCTTTGAAGGACATGGTGCCAGTGGATTGAATGATGTTCTATTTTATTTATATATACTTTTTAAAACAGATAATTATATTAGAGCTTAAGAATAAGTAAATCAGTCCTGATAGCATTAAAGTTGGCCAGGTGACTTCTGACTTATCTCCCTTGGCTTAAATAGCATTAGCAAATCTTTTGCTGGACTCTGTGTGCTTGGTGGACCTCTTGGTTTTCTTCCCATTTTCGGATTCATACCATAAGCATTTAGTTACCTTTTGTCCTCTTCAAACAAAAAAAGGATTAAGGTTGTTTGTTTTGAAATATTCTGCATTAGCAACTTTCTCATAGTTGTTTTGGTTTAATTTTTTAACAGTGGCGTTTCTGTTCATTGTAGCCACAAAAAAAAAGAACAAAGGAATAACTATGTGCAGGCCAATTACTAACTGGTATATAAAAAATAATTGAGTAGCAAAATAACTTTTTATATAGGACACCTAGTACTTGGAAATTTTTCTTGAAAAATATGAACTGACATACACAAATGTTAGCTTGATTTGTACTACAGTAGTAATTAATCTGATCTATTATTACCTTTTTTGGTCAAGCGCATTTTTATTTTTAGATATAACTGTATTACACTCTAAAATTTTTTAGTGTTTTCAGTTGCAAAATGTTAGAATTAGAGAAACTTATGCAAAATTGGAAATTCACTTTATAATTTATTAAAGTAAAATTCATAAACAAGCTGCACACTGTGGTCATAGGAGTCAGCTTCCACAGAGCTGCTAGGCTGGGCCTTTGTACACACAGACAGTAGACATCCCTTTGTTTTGCCCCTCCTTCTCTTCTTCAGCAGTCATTCAATGACAAGCGTAAAAAGAACCTCTTTTCCCGAAAATTCCCCTTCTACAAGAACAAGGACCAGAGTGAGCAGGAAACAAGTGATGCTGATCGTAAGTATGTGGATCCAGTGGTCAACTGAAAAGACATATAGAGGGACCTACTGCCCTGCAGTTGGTTGTTACCATAGAGACAGTTTCAAGAGCTGCAACAGGTTACTGATTGTCTTAACCAGGGGCAACTTAACAGGTATAAATTAATTTATATGCCAATCTTAACTTTTTCTAGCACCTTAGGAATTTTTAATTTAAAATAAACAATATTTTAATGTATATGTTTATTACTTAAATATATAAGTATGTAAATAGATAAAATAGAATTATTTGAAGGAGGAATTTTTATGAAAAACACTTACTATTTACACATTCAAAGAATATTTTGGAGGAAGAACATGAATACCTGAGAAGCTACCTATTGATTTGTAGGTGTAAAATTGCCAGTTTTTGATAATAGATTGTCTGGAATCATTTCAGTTTATCCTATTTTTTCATTATATGTAGACGGTCTGAAGTTTACTTTTAAAACAGCAAGAAATGATCTAAAATTTTACTTCTCTAATCAGTCTCCAAGCTAGAACTTACATTCTTTTGGTAGATCACTTAGCTTCTAGCTCATTTCAAACTCCCAGAAATTTACAAAAATGCTCTGTAAGATATGTGTACCTGTAATGGTCTTGGAACTGTCTCTTACTGTAGCACCAATTTTATGCATTACTGACAACTATTTTCTTTGATTATCTTTTTATTGCTTGCTCTCTGGGAACTACTCTCTACAGGAGATCCCTGACGACATGGGATCAAAAGGCCTGAGTAAGTGATCAAAACACACCCAAGTTATTTTTTAACCTCCATCTGCAGACCTACCGTATTCAGATACATTTTAAAATTTATGGTAGTGCCCTTCTGGCTTAAGGAGGTGTATGATTTAGATTGCTTTTAGACTTTTCATATTTATAACATGCTTGGAATTTCTAATTCCATAATATATAATTTTTATTTTTCTTGTTTTCCATTTTTCATGTGTCACTTGAAAAACCCTCTGATTATAAATATTTTTCCTTTTTGTAATTTTTTATGGCAGTTCCTTTTTGCTAGGGATTTTTTAAATATAAAGACTTTTTAAAGTTTTTTTTGTAAAAGTATTACCTGCCCCTGTTATTAGAACGTAGAGATATGCTTCTTGGAGTTTTATATCTCCCTTTTTTTGTGAAAATAAGTTAAAATCACTTCAATTATGTGTTAGGAAAGCATCACTTATAATATAAAAGTTTAAAACACAATAGACCTTAATTGTTAGAGAAGAATTACAGTTATCAATTTCAAGTAGCAGTTTGTTTAAAGAATAAATTATGTACTTTTATTAAGAGGGTTATAAATTATGGGAAGAGTTAGGAGAAATATGTTTTGGTTTTCCTTTAACCAGGATATTGTTGTTGGTTTTGGTTTTTGTTGCTGTTGTTCTTGTTTAATTTTCTAGCTAGTTACTTAATTATATAAAACTTGGCACAGAGCCTGGTATATAGAAAACAATGAATGTTGGAATTAATAAATGAAGCAAGAAGCCATTTTAGCAAGCAAAATTTTAAATGTGTGTGTTTTCAAGTTGTCTAACTATGAAGATTTACCAAATATTATTTTAAAATCTTAGGTGACAGTAATTCACAGAAGTCATCTTTTAGACTATTTTTTTCTAAATGGTTCTTTCCATTTGGATTATTAAGAATTTTGAAAACTTATTTATTTGTAATTTATTGACCATTAAGCATATAGCCAATATCTTTAAACTTTCTAAGATCTACATTAGTAAACATTAAGTTTCACAAAAGATTTTTTTCCTGATTTATGCTAACTTTATACTGGAATGTTAATCTAAACTGTAGGTACTTGACTTTTATTTCAGCCTTAATAACTTAGATTTGTATCAGATGAAAGATAGTATGCTTAATGTATAATGTTTTTCAATGAGACATACCTTGTTATTTGCATATACCTTTTTAGATTTAGAAGGGCCACAGATTTCCTATCACTAGTGACACCTTTTTTTTAATCTTTTACATTTGGGGAGAAATATCTGTGAAAACACCCTAAAAACTAGAACATGTTACTGCAGATTATTAATGCTACAGAATTCATTTTGAGATTGATGATGTATTTTTGAAGTGGTATGTATTAGCAAATGGACCCACAGATTTCTTATCTGTTGAGTCAACAGAGACTTATGGAAAACTGGTAGAAAAAAAGAAGTAAATGAAGAATTTACGTCCCATATTGATATTATGATAGATGATAATTGCACCTTGATCCTGTATCTCTGATTCTAATTGAGGATTGGACTTGGGAAGAAAAGCAATACAAAAATGATAACCGATTACTAGACAATGTTATTTAGAAGAAGACTTTATTTTCTGCACAGTGACCCAAGATCCCTTGAATGTTAGATTTCTGTACTTCATCTCACAAGAACTGAAAGAATTTATTCACCGTGTAGCCTGATGATCAGATCAAGATTGCATTAAGAAAATGTGGAAGAAGACAGGAAAATATCAGTAAGATTCTAAAACTGGATATGATGGAAGTTACCACATGAAACGGATCACATAAATCAGTTGACATGGTAGTTAGGTAATAGAAAATACTGGGAGGAAGGGTGTGTCCAAAGATATTACTTGAGGCCTCAGTTTCTGTATTCTAAAGTTCAGAATATAGGAAATAAACTAAGCAAAATCTTGTAAGATTTTAATATTAAAAAATGCAAACTAATATAGGTAGACATTAAACCTTGTTGGAGCAGGACTCATGAAAGGACTCCAAGCAGAAAGGTTAATTATTCCAGCGAAACAAACCTACTGAAGAGTCATAGAATAACACTGAATATCAAGAAAAATGTACATCTGCCTGTGTGAATTCACACAACCTATGAAAAATGGGGTGTTTAATTGAAGAGCGAAAAGAGAAACAGAAGTGATACAAGAGAATACTTCTTATATACATAAATTTAGTCACTTTTTCATTCTGAAAAGTCTAGTAAATTATTGATTTGTCCTGTTGACAATAGAGGAAACAATGAGATAAATTGTTTTTCCAAACCTAATTTTGACTAACAGAACAGTATAATGGAAGTCTGGGAGATTGCAACTAAATCATCATGGTATGAAAAGCTAGAAATGGAAACAGTGCTGCTTTTATGCTTTAATGAGGTAATTCTGAAAAAAGCTCAAGGGAATAAAACTGGATAAGATTCCCTTAACAGAGACTAAAAGGAAATATAACTCAGTAGAAGATATGTAAGGTACTCAGAAGTGAAATAATAACATACAGTTTCAGACAAGGTTTGTTCCTATTATAGGTAGCCTTTCCAGTTTTACAACTTTCCATTTTGTGTAACACTTTAAAATCTTCCTCAGTTATGTATCTCTTTCCTTTCTTCTCATTTGAAAAATGTAAGCATAGTTGTGCAGAGCTTAGATGCCAAAACTAGACTTATTTTCATTTGTGTTATAAAAATGATATGAGTAAAATTATTTATAGTGATATAAATAAGTTGCATTATTTGTTGGTTTTGTATAGTTTGGGACTTTGTATATATTCTGTTTGGGGTTCGTTGAAATTTTTCAATCCAAAGGTTTATAGTCTTAATAAAATTTGGAAAAATGTTGGCCAAAATAAATGTTATGTTTGGGATTGATGATGTAGTATTATTACAGGAAAGCAAAAGAGAAAAGACATGATACACTCTATCAGGAAGAAATGCTTAAATACAAAGTTGAAACTTGGATTTGAAATAGTTGTGCTCATAAAATATTACAAACAAAATAAAAATTGAAGAATGTATTTGTACCATATATGTTAAGGGGATAATTCCCTTATACTACTATAAATTGCTAACATTGATTAGAAACAGGCTAACTTTCCATTGGAAAACTGGACAAAAGATATGATGAGTGCTCAAACGATAAGCAGATGAAATAAACATGTAACAAGTTTAATTTCCATAATAATAAAACAGTGTTTTACCTGTCACCTTGGCAGACTTTTGTTTTTATTTTATTTATTTTGTGTGTGTGTGTACAGTCTGTCTGTTGCTTAGGCTGGAGTGCAGTGGCACGATCATAGCTTGCTGCAGCCTTAAACTCCTGGTCTTAGGTGTCCTTTCTCCTCAGCTTCCCAAGTAGCTAGGACTGCAGGCACGTGCCACCACACCCAGCTAATTTTTTTTTTATTTTGTTGTAGAGATGAGGTCTCACTGTGTTGCCTGGGCTTGTCTCAAACTCCTGGGCTCAAGCAATCAGGCTCAGCCTCAGCCTCTCAAAGTGCTGGAATTACAGGCGTGAGTCACCATACCTGGCCTCATTTATTTATTTTAGAGACTAAAGGAAAACCCAGTGATGAAGAGGGTTCTGCTAAATGGCTTACTTACTTAATGTATTATAATAGAGAGTATAAGTTGGCACAGCCTTTCTGGAAAAGCTTTTCTTTTGGCCTGCTAAATCCCCTTCAAGGAATTTGTCCTAAGAACATAATTAGAGATGGAGATAAAAGCTAATATATCAGAATGTGTATTTCAACATTGTTTAGAAATAACAGTAAAAAATGGAAAGCATCCTAAAACGTTTTACAGTAGAAAGTGGTTAAGAGAGTAGGATTTATCCATACTTTGTAATAACATAACTATGGAAAATTATATTTTAAAATAATGGCATGGAAAAATACAATATAAATAAATACAAAACTGTACATATACTGCCTCACGTTTATAAATAAACGTGTATGCTTGGAGCTATTTTGAAAATGTTACTTTGAACATATCTTTTGGTATATATGTATATACACACACACACACACACATATACACATATATACCTTTCTTTTGTGGAAGTATCTGGGAAAGGAATTGCTGAATCATAGTATATAAATGTTCAGTTTTAGTAGGTACTACCAAATAGTTTTCCAAAGTGGTTTTACCAATTTGCCATCTTTAATATGTGAGTTCCAGTTGCTGCATACTCTTATTTATGCTTGGCATGTCTGTTTTGGTTTTGTTTTTTTCATTTTAGCCATTCTGGTAGATGGTAGAGATCTCTTTTGTGGTTTTGATTTGCATTTCCCTGATAAGTAATTAGCTTGAGCACTGTTTTATATGATTATTAGTTATTTAACTGTCTTCTTTAGTGAGTTATTTGAAGATCATTTTCACTTTTCAGGAGAAAGACACTTATTTTACTAATAAGATTCCAAGAATTATGATGATGTTATCCCAAGGACCATATTTGAGAAAGTTTGATTACAGAGGAGCTCAGTAAAATGATATTTGAAAGAACTTGCAGAACTTGATTATTCTGTAGCCTTTGGCAATGTTAGAGAATGGGAAAAGTCCCCAAAAAAGATAGAAAAGAGATTTTTAGTAACTTTAACTATTTATTATATAGCGTCAGATATATAACTAGACCCTGCAAATATTTATTTATCCAGCATCCATAATGATCAACTCAAAATTAACCAGTTCTATTTCTTCTGTACTCCCACTTACACCCTCCCTTTATTACATTGCAATAACTAATTTTTCCTTTTCTTTTTCTTTTTTTTACAAATTAGAGATAGCAGAGTGTTAATACCCAACCTAACATCAACATAAGAACTTTTTTTAATGTGCCGTTTCTACTTCTGGTAATGAAGTTTAACGAAATGGGACAAAAGGTTAAAAACCACATTAATAAAGCCATTTATAATTATTGACATTTGTGAAAACCAGTTTAAAACATCTAAAACTTGCTAAATAGGTAAATAATTATCAATCTAATAGAATATTATACAACAATTTTAAGTCATTGTTTTCAAGTCCAAGAAATTTTTTAAAAACACTGTTTTATTACAAGAACAGGCATATAGACCAATGAAACAGAATATTGATTACAGAAGCAAAACTCAATTTCTCAACCAGCTCATCTTTGACAAATCCTCCACTATCAGCCACTAGGGAGAGGAGAACCTATTCAGTAAATGTTGCTGGGAAAACTGACTGACCACATGCAGAAGATTAAAAGAAGACCCCTACCTATCACCATACATGAAAATAAACTCTAAATGGATCAAAGACCTAAACATAAAACCTCAAACTATAAGAACCTTAGAAAACGCAGGAGACATCTTTATGGAAATTGGAACTGGCAGCGAATTCCTGATCCAAATACCAAGTGCCCATGCCGTAAGAGATAAGATAAACAAGTGGGAACTCCTCAAACTGACAAGTTTCTGCAAAGCCAAAGAAACAATTGAGAAAGTAGGGAGACAGCCCTCAGACTGGGAAAAATATATTTGCAACTATGTATCTGACAAAGGCCTAACATCCAAGATCTACAAGGAACTCAAATGTGTCGAAAAGAAAAAAAAAACAAACAGCCCATTCCAAAGTGGGCTAAATAGACACTTCTCAAAAGAAGACATACAAGCAGCCAACAGATATATGAAAAGATACTCAGCCTCACTAGTCATCAGAGAAATGCAAATTAAAACCACACTGAGATACCACCTAACTCCAAGTTGGGATGGCCATCATCAATAACTCAAAAAACAACAGATACTGGAGAGAATGCGGCGAAAAGGGAACACTTCTACACTGTTGGTGGGAGTGGAAACTAATACAGCCTCTGTGGAAAACAGTGTGATGATTCCTAAAAGATCTAAAAATCGGCCTCCCCATATGACCTGGCACTCTCCCTTCTGGGACTATACCCAGAGGAATTCAGATCACTCTATGAAAAAGATACCTGCACATGCATGTTTATTGCAGCATTATTTACAGTAGCAAAAACATGGAACCAACCGTGCTACCCATCGAAAGAGAACTAGATTTTTAAAATGTGGTACATATACATGATGAAATATTACACAGCCATAAAGAAGGATAAAATTATGAACTTCACAGCAACTTGGATGGGCTTAGAGCCTATAATACTCAGGAACCGCTCACAGAAACAAAGAACCAAGTATCACATGTTCTTACTCATAAGCAGACTGTGAACAACTATCATAATACTATAAGAAAGGGATTAGCATAGTGGGAAACTGCCAGGGGAGAATGGGGGCAGGATTGGCAATAGTGGGAAACTGCCTCGGGGGGCAAGGAGGGCATACATCATCAATAAGGATACCTACCTGCATAATGAACATTTGTACCTGACCCTGAATTGTTCCCCACATATTTAAAATAAAAATTTTTTTGATAAAAGAAAGTTGTAGTAGATAGCAATATATATAAATCTTGTCATTGTAGGTTAGAATAAAAGACTTATATTTTCACCATAGTAGTAATTCAGGAATCTTTTTTTTTAAGAGATAGAGTCTCAGTATTTTGCCCAGGTTGGTCTCAAACTCCTGGCCTCAAGTGACCTTCCTGCCTCAGCCTTTTTCTTTTTTTTCTTTTTGAGTTGGAGTCTCACTCTGTCACCCAGGCTGGAGTGCAGTGGCACACTCATGACCACCGCAACCTCGACCTGCTGGGCTTAGGCGATCCTTCCACCTCAGTCTTCCAAGTAGCTGGAACTACAAATGCACACCTGGCTAATTTTTGTGATTTGTTGTAGAGATGAGATCTCACCAAGTAGCCCAGGCTGTTCTCAGGCTCAGGCAATTCTCTCCTCTCGGCCTCCCAAAGTGCTGGGATTACAGGCTGAGCCACTGCACCCAACCTCAACCTTCTTAAATGCTGGGATTGTGGTCATAAGCCACAATGCCCAGCTCAAGAACTTTTTTAAAATTTAATTTGAAATCTTAAGTACAACCATCCTCTGTACTGTTCAGTAGTGCTACTTGATTTAGGAGATATTTATCCTTAATTTTTTTTCTTATCCTTGAAATTTTGTTTTCCTTTTCTTAACATGAAGTTTAGGTTTCCCTTATTGAAAGTTTTAGTTTTTAGAAATAAATTGTTTATCTTTTTATTTAAGAGATATGTTTACTGAAAGAATACCCATTATTACATTTACATGCATGAGAAACCATGCCTGTTGTTTACTAAAAAATCAAGTCATGAAATGTCATTTTTAAGGAGGGGCCAGGCAATTTTTGATAGGGTGTATTTTCATAATCTTTTTTTATGTTTTGCAAAGCTGCCACTATCAATTTTATTAAAGCGGAATTGCTAGGAAATATTACTCTGTTTTAAAATAGAATGCCACTACCTAGAACTCCCTTCCATTAACTTTTCTTGAAACATCTGAACTTATGACATCTAAAATGCTTTATCTAGCCGGGCTTGGTGGCTCAGCCTGTAATCCTGCGCCTTGGGAGGCTGAGGTGAGTGTGTTGCCTGAGCCTGCGGGTTCGAGACCTGCCTGGGCAACTTGGCAAGACCTCATCTCTACAATAAATAAAAAAAAAAAAATTAGCCGGGTGTGGTAGCACGCACCTGTAATTCCAGCTACTTGGAAGGCTGAGGCGGAAGGATCCCCGGAGCACAGCAGGTCGAGGCTGCGGTGGCCAAGAGCGACCACTGCACTCCAGTCAGGGTGATAGAGTGGGACTCCAACTCAAAAAATTAATTAGTTAATTAATTAAAATGCTTTATCTAGATCAGGCAGGGTGGCTTATCTTGTAATCCTTGCACTTTGAGAGGCTGAGGCAGGAGAATGGCTTGAGCCCCCAGGAGTTTGAGACCAGCCTAGGCAACATGAGATCTCATCTCTGTAAAAAATCAACAACAAAATATAATTAACTAGGTGTGGTAGCATGTACCTGTAGTCCCAGCCACTCAGGAGGCTGCGGAGGGAAGATTGCTTGAGCCCAGAAGTTCCAGGCTGCAGTGACCTTTGATTGTGCCACTGCACTTCAGTCTGGGTAAGAGAGTAAGACCTCAACTCAAATAAATACATACATGCATAGCTTGCCTTGTCTGTGTGATCTCAGGAACACGGCTTTTCATTTCTCTTCAGAAATGAGAAACTAGACTAGAAACAAGATCATCTGTTTATTTCTTGATTGCAAGGCAATCCTTCATTAAAATGGGCATCTGTTTACTCAAATAGAGCTTGTCTCCTTTGGCAGTCATTGCTGTTTCATTATCTAAGTGGTACCAACATTTTCTCTTTTGAGTTTTATGTCTATGTTTAGACTAATTTAGGATCACTTTACCCTTTTTGTCATATTCTGCTTGCTATTTTTAATATAGATTTGTTCATAAACTGTTGTACAGAAATGAGGCATCATCTTGCTTGTTTTCCTTTGCTGCTTCATATTTAGTTATTTGAAAAAATTAAACTTCGAAGAAAATTTAAAATGCTTTTGAAAAATTATTTGGTTATATGTGGTTTATATCAACATTTTGTAATGTCACCGTGGTTTTTTTTTTTTTTTGATAATTTGCTTTTATTAGCTTTTTAAACTCATGACACTATGTTTTCTTTTTTTTTTTTAATTTTCCTGCAATTTCAGAGCATGTAACTTCTAATGCCAGCGATAGTGAAAGTAGTTACCGTAAGTACTTGTTATTTTGTAATCTCAAGTAATACATATCTTTTGTGGAGGGGATATTGAAGTTAAATACTTAATAATTTCAAATCATGGAGAGCCAAGTAAACGTCTGTACTTGAAAAATAAAATCATACTATATATATACAGAGATGAATTTATAACATTTTAGTAAAATACTAAAATTATGTTTACAAAGTGTTTATACACATGGTACATATATTTGTGCATATGTATTTTTTGTAAGCAGTAAATATCTAGTTAAATGGAGGCAAATTTGGATTTTGGCATTTTATTTAGTAATTCTGTTTTACTTTAAGCATTAAAATTGTATTTTTCAGAAATGCTGAAGTGTAATTAGCTTTATTTCCTTTCTTATTCTGTATCACTAATACTGGTCTCGGTCAAGTCATTGCTTTATCATCTGTTCTTGGTGGACATAAGAAATGAGGAAGGAAATATTTTTCATGATTGCCCAAAAAGTAATACTGATTTCTTATTTGGTGTTTCATATTACATCCTCGGTATTATTAAGTGAACTGTACAAGCATGTGACATTTTTAAACAAATTTGGGCATGGGAGAAAGGGAGAGTATTATCAGTTGTAGCACCTTAAAAATTAAAATTGCTTTTCTAACTTTTTTTTTACTGCTGTCTAATATGAAAGTAATCTTGATTACAGATGAGTATGGCTACTCAAAAGGTCCATCCTGTTAATATGAGTCCCTAATATTTTTTCATGTTGACAATATATACTTTTAAACCTCCTTCATTTGGTTGGTTGTTTTTTTCTACACAATAGTTAATGATTTTGAGTTTTGTATGGGAATAAGATTTCTTGTATGTCAGCATTTTACTAATTTATAACCAGAATCCACTATAGAATAGTTGAGTGGCTTTCTGTACTTAAAAAGAGGTGATGAAAGTATATACTGTCTATCTCACCATTTGCATGAATTATTAAGGTGTTGAATATTGAAATTGCATGTTATTTCTAGTATGAAAACATTGTTTTACATCCAGTACTTTAAAAAACAGCTTGTAAGATATCTTTTTATATACTATGATAATAAAATGGCAAACAAATATACTTTTAAGACAGGAAAGAGTATGTATGCCAACATATGGATTTAAAAGACCTGCAGCTGCATACATATAATATAAATTAATGACAAAATTAGTGGTAAAGTTGTTATAGAATCTGGATAATCAAGGAGCAAGTCTTCAAATATATTATCTAATATTGATTGCTTTTATTGAACCACTCGTGTTAAGTCTTTTCTAGTTTGTTTTCTGTGTTTGTGTGTGTTTGTTTAGTTCTTTTCATTGTGTTCAGGTATAATTATCTTTTATTTAGAGTATTTCCTAAGCTCTAAACCTTTAACTTAACTTTCATATGCTTTAGCTTCTTAAGTGCTTTTAAATTCAAAGCAAAATATTTTTATCTACTTTACTATAACTGTGATTCATTTTGTTGGAGAGATTTATTTTTATCTAAAGTTCTTATTAATTCGTATTAAATGTTATTTTTGCAAAGTTGAATTAGTGAATTTTATCATCAGTGAAATAGTAACAGTAGTTTTACCTTGGCATTTATAATTTTTAGTTGTAAGATAGTTGTAATTATTTTACAAATATGTTCAATATTACACTTGGTGGGACCAAAAATGAAGCATAGTTTTTAAAATATAGCAAATTACCTAACATGTATACATGTAGAACTGTTCATTAAAGCATAATTCATAGACTCCAAGTTAAAAATGAATAGCAAACATTCAACATCACAAATGAAAACTTTAAATATATTTCATCTATAAAATTCAATAACAGAAAGTTACTGGTTAAATAGCCTACTTATATTTTGTTTTGTATTTATCAGACTTATCTTTATGATTTTATAATTTGCCACCTTTTTTTTAAACTAAATCTTGCCATAAATTAAAGTACCTTTTTGACATCTTTGCCACCTTCTTAGGAAAGTTCTAGTTATATGTTATATATAAATAATTAGATTAGCATTTATTACCTTTACAGATTTTTCTCTCCTGTCCTTTAACTTTTTAATAGGTGGTCAAGAAGAATATGTCTTGTCTTATGAACCAGTGAATCAACAAGAAGGTTTGTAAAGCCTGTTAATGTTTTAATACTCTTCTAGAATAATATACTTATTAATTTGTGGGGGAGAGAAGGTCTAACTCATTCCTCAAAAAATATATTAGAATTTTACTGTATATTTTTTACTATATGTATATCTGTAGAAAATTACTTAAATGTATCTTATGAAGCATGGTTTAGCCCATGGTATATTAGAATCTAGTCATTTCATATTAGCTATTTTATATTGTAATTTATTCCCAAAGCAACTTTTTTCCAGTGTTCAAGCTAGCATCACTAGCCTTCCAATAGCAACCCTTCTTAAAAATCTTGAAAGCACCTTTGAACTTTTTCTGTTCCTCTTTCTCATCCGGTCAGATTCTAAGCCCTATTGATTCTACTTTCATGATATTTTTCTTACATATGACTCTCTTTCAATAATTCCTACCACAGTGTTCTTCTTCCAGCATGATCCTTTATAACCCAGTGTTTATACAATTCTGATAGATCATCTTTCTAGATCACTACTGTAATTATATTACTTCCTACACCCAATTTCTTTTCTTCCCTTCTTTACTCGCTACAATTTCTACTTCAAAAACCATCAGTAAAACACTGTACTTTGTTCTCTCATTTGTAATGAAATGATGTTAGCAATATAGAGAAATACTTCTGCTAAAGGCTAAATTTAACTTGGTTGAATTATCAAGTCTGTGACTTAGCAGAAGATTGAGTAAAGTTTAAGATTTTAGTCAAAGTTAAAAAAAGAGCAAGTTAAACATCTTTGGTTGATGGTAGAGTGGAGTGGAGAAAGAGGAGAAAAGAAATTCATAGCAGTTAGATATTTTTGTTCTCTGGTGGAATCAAATACATTGATATTTGTTGAGTGTTTATTTCTTTTTACATTCATTTTATCTTTATAGTTAATTACACTCGACCAGTGATCATATTGGGACCTATGAAAGACAGAATAAATGATGACTTGATCTCAGAATTTCCTGATAAATTTGGATCCTGTGTTCCTCGTGAGTAGCCCAAACAAAATCTCTTATTTATTGTTTTTAACATTTCCTGTCACTGTGTGTGGGAAAAGTAAACATAACCATTTTAATGGTTTAGATTTAGTTACTTTATTAATTACTCTTCCATCTGCCTATTTGTCATTTCTCAGATTTAAATTAATCTTTGTTGAACTTATAATTACTTAAATAGAAAATGAATTTTTTTCCTAATATAAACACTTCCTCAAGTTCTTTTCTATTAAAGATACAACTAGACCAAAACGAGATTATGAAGTAGACGGGAGAGATTATCATTTTGTGACTTCAAGAGAGCAAATGGAAAAAGATATCCAGGAACATAAATTTATTGAGGCTGGCCAATATAACAATCATCTATATGGAACAAGTGTTCAGTCTGTGCGAGAAGTAGCAGAAAAGGTAAGCATCAGCATAATCCCAGACTATAGCTTCTAATAACACATGCCTTTGACAGTGTGAAAGTATAACGGGGTCAAATCTTTTAGTTCATATTGATGAAACAATGTAGAATCTATGATACTGCGTTGATTATATTTATTAATCTTATGAATTCATTTAAATTTTTAAATTCAGGGGGCTTAGAAAATTGCATACAAGATAAAGCAAGTAGACAAAGGAAATGAAAATAGAGGTGATAACACAAATCTAAGAGGGAAGATTCTTGGTGTTTTTTTAGAAAGTAGAATTTATTGAGAGGACAGAGAAGCTCCCAGAGCAGGAGGAGACCTGAGGGGATTACCTGAGACAATTATTGTTTTAAGACCATTTGCTAGAGGCAGACCTTGTGTTTGGCCCTAACCTTCCAGCATATAATAATTAAGGAGCTAAGATCAGCAGTGTCCATGAAAATGAACAAGATGTTCAAGATAAATGTCGTTATCTTGGTACTGAGACTAGACAGAATTTCTCCTCTGAGCCTCCATTTTAAATGACAGTATAGAAATTACCCAAAAACATTAACAAAAACAGATTTTCTGAAAGCATTCTTCAGAGCTGTCTAATAATATATTAACATTAGGTTAAAACAGTTTTATTATAAGGCCAAAGCAGTGTTATCTCCAGGCATAACTGCTATGCTTAATCTCTTGTTGATCCTAGAAAGTAAACATCAGCAAATTATTTTATACTTTCAAAACTAACAAACCAGATGCAGTGGCTTGCACCTGTAATCCCAGCACTTTGGGAGACAGAGGCGAGAGGCTTGCCTGAATCCAAGGGTTCAACCTAGCAAGTCTGGACAACTTGGCAAGTCCTTGTCTCTACAATAAACCAAAAAAAAGGAGCTGAGCATGGTGGCGCACACCTGTGGCTCCAGCTACTTGGAAACCTGAGGCAGAAGGATCACCTGAGCCCAGCAGGTTGAGGCTGCGGTGGCTGTGAGTGTGCCACTGGACTCCAGTCGGGGCAACAGAGTAAGACTCACAACAACAAAAAAAACTAATAGCTTAAGACTCAATCATGAAATACTTTACAAAAACAAAGCAATAATTCAGCTTGTCCATTTTCCATGTGTTAACTTTTTTTCTATAGAAAAAAGTTTGTTTAATTCTGATTTAAAATTTTTTTAAAAATAGAGATGTCCACAAGTCATCACTTGTGGCATGGATTTTGGGAACTGGAAAATCTCAGATATTGTTAGTGGGTATATAAATTAGCAGAACTTTGGAGAATAATTTGGCAGTGTCTAATAAATATGTATACCCTATGATCCAGAAGTACTTCTTCTTGATATCTAAGTATGGATTCACACATGAGGATCATGTATGAGTATGTTCATAGCTATACTTTATAATTGTGAAAAATTGAAGTCTACAAAGGAGAATTAATAATTAACTGATTTATTCATGCAGTGGACTACAGCAGCTAGAGTGACTAAACTAGTATATCTACTAATTAGATGTTATATCCACATTGAAACATCTCAAAATTATTTAATAGTGAATGAATCAAATTGCAAACATTGCCGTGAGTATGCTGCTATTTATATAAACTTTAAAAAATAAAAAAGCCAGCTGGGTGCGATGGCTCAAGCCTACAATCCCAGCACTCTGGAAGGCCGAGGCGAGAGGATTGCCTGAGCCCACAGGTTTGAGACCAGCCTAGGCAACAATATGAGCCCTCGTCTCTACGATAAACAAAACAAAAAAATTAGCTGGGCGTGGTAGCGCGCACCTGTGGTTCCTGCTACTTGGAAGGCTGAGGTGGAAGGATCACCGGAGCCCAGGAAGTCGAGGCCGCAGTGACCAGAAGCATGCTACTTCACTCCAACCTGGGCGACAGAGTGAGACACCAACTCAAAATAAAATAAAATAAAATAATTAAAAAACCTATCCATTCTGTTTATCCATTATTATGTTTAATAAACCTAAAAACATAAATGGGAACGATACATAATACATTTCAGTTGTATATATAGCCACTATCTAGTGGTTTCCCTTTGGAAACAGAAGGAAGGAAATTGGAGTTTTCGCTTTTGGGGGATGTTTTATTTCTTAAGAAAAAAATTTTAATGTAAAAGCCACACCTTCAGCCTAACTGAAAACAGAAAATATCCAAACTTTAAACTACTGATAAGTAGAAAAGTAAATATCAAATCTCAGCAGACTATTTCTTGAGCAGACTTTGTAGAGAATAAAAGCAGTCTGGAAACTACTTAGGAAGCTAAGGCAAGGAGGATCACTTGAGCCCAGGAGTTTGAGGCTGTGGTGGGCCATGATCATGCTACTGCGCTCCACCTCAGTGGCAGAGTGTAACCTGACTCAAAAAAAAAAAGTCTCGGAAAACATACATGGAAAAGGAAAGAGCAAACAATGAGCCTAAGATTGATCTAAAATCACTGCCAGAAAGAGAAATTACACCCTAAGTGCAAAGATCCTGAAAAGGACGCCTGCTAGATCAGAGTAGGGAAGAGAACTAAAAACACAACACACTCAAAGGGAGGCAGTTTGGGAACATACAACTGCCAGTACAAGAGAAAGACAAAAATAATAAAGGATATGGAAGACCTAAGCAGCATAATCAGTATTAAATGTTACACTTAAGTTACCTTTTCAAGCACATAAGATTCATCAAAAATGATCATATATTAGGTTCCAAAGAAAATAGTGGGAAATCCCATAAAATGGTAATTTACAAATAATACTGATCACAATGCAGTAAACCTATAAATTATTAGAAAACGAAAAGACCCAGCCAACTGGACATTTTTAATCAAAAAATTGAAAAGGAAGAAAATACTTCCCAAATCATTTTTTGAGTTCATCATTACCTAGATTTCAAAATTGAATATATTACTACAAAAAAAAAATACAGCTCAGCATCTCTCATGATGATAGATGTAGAAATTCTAAACCAAATTTTAGCAAATTTAATCTAGCAATATATGAAAAATATATCATAACCAAGTAGAATTTATCTAATGTATTAGAAAATCAGTGTAATTCACAATATTAAACTAAAAGAGAAAAACCACATTGTTATCTGAATCGTGAAGAGAAAGCATTTTTCTTGATCAGAAACCTCCCTACAAACTGAATAGAAAAAGACTTTCTGAAATTGATAAAAGACATTTACATACTTAGTGTGGTGGCTCACACCTATAATCTTATCAATTTAGGAGGCTTAGATAAGAGAATTACCCCAGTTCAAGAGTTGAGACCAGCCTGGCAGCATAGCAAAGCCTCATCTTAAATTAAAAAAAAAAAAAATGCCAGATTTGGTGGTGCGTGCCTGTAGTCCCAACTACTTGGAAGGCTGAGGCAGGAGGATCACCTGAGCCCAGCAGGTTGGGCTTTGGTGGCCATGATTGTGCCACTACACTCCAGAGTGAGACTCTGGACCCCACCCAAAAAAAGTTTTTTTAAAAGCCTACAGCTGGCATCATATTTAACAGTTAAAAGAAAAAATACTCAGTACTTTACCCTAAGATCAGAAACATGTCAAGACTATCCACTTTGACCACTTGTTTTCAACATTGTATTAGAGGTCCTAGCCAATGCAGTAAAGCAAGAGAAAGGACAATTGAATAGCCACACCTCAATCCATATACAAAAATTAGCTCAAAATGGATCATAAATTTAAAGCCTGAAACTGTAAACCTAGAAGAAAATTATCATGATTTTGAGTTAAAGATTTCTAAGATACCATACCATGGTACTATCCATAAAAAAAAAAGACCAATTTTAAATTTCTGCTCTTGAAAAACTCTGTTAAAAGAAAGAAAACAAGACATATGCCAGGAGAAAACATTTTTAAATCATAAATCTGACTTTGAAAACTTATATCCAGAATATATAAAGAACTCTTACAGCACAGAAAAGACAAACCCGGTTTTTAAAGGGGCAAAAGATTTAAATAGACATTTCTTCAAAGAAGATATACAAATGACCAATGCGCACATGAAAAGATACTCAACATCACTAGTTACTAGGGTAATGCAAATTGAAGCCATAATAAAATTCTACTACATACCCATTAAAATAGCTAGATTTTTTTTAAGTGGACCTCACTAAGTTTTAGCAAAGACATAGAATAACTGCAGCACTCATACTCAGCTGGTGGAACTATAAAATAATACAACAGTTTTGAAAAACAATTTCAACATGCACCTAATGTATAATCCACTTACAGGTATTTACCCAGGTAAAAAATCAAGCATAAATTCTTTTAAAAAAAATGTGTATAAATGTTGATAGCTCTATTTATAATAGGCAAAAACTAGAAACAACCCAAATTTCCCTCAACCAGTGAATGGATAAATTAAGTCTGGTATATCCATGCAAGGGAATACTACTCAGCAATGAAAAGGAATAAACTATTGTTATGCACAGCAACCTAGTTGAATCCCAGAAAAATTATGCTGAGTGAAGGAAGCCAGACAACAAAGGAATACATACTGAATGGTTGTACTTACATAAATTTCTAGAAGTTTCAGACTAATCTATAGTTACAGAAAGCAAACCAGTGATTGCTTGGGGAAGGCTGGAAAGGAGGGTTTACAAAGAGGCTTGAGGAAGCTTTTGGGGGTGATAAGTTTATTGTCTTGATTGTGGTGATGATTTCAGCGTGTATATATATACAAAAGTCAAAGTGTATCAAATTGTGTTCTTTAAATATGTGCAGTTTTGTATCCTTTCTGAACTACTTAAATAAATGTTTTTATCCCTGACATATTATTATTTTTCTAGTAATAATTTAATTTTTTTGTTGTTTTTTTGAGTCAGAGTCTCACTCTGTCACCCCAGACTGGAGTGCAGTAGGATGATCACGGCTCCCACACTTTGATCCGCTAGACTCAGGCGATCCTTCCGCCAGGTAGCTGGAACTACAGGAGCACACCACCATGCGTGGCCAATTTTTTTTTGTTTATTGTAGAAACGAGATCTCTCCAAGTTGCCCAG